AAATAAAATAAAATAAAATAACCCTGAAAATGGCATGCTAAGTGAAATAAGCTTGACGTAAAAGGCCACAGATTGTGTGATTTCATTTATGTGACATATCAAGAATAGGCAAAGCTATATAAAGAGAGAGTCTCTATGGCTCATATTTGCCAGGGGGTGGGGGAAAGGGGAAATGGGGAGAAGCTGCTGTGGATTGCAGGGTATTTTGGGGAGGTGAGATGATAATTTTTTGAAATTAGTGATGATGGTGGCACAACTTTGCAAATGTACTAAAAATACAAAATTTTTTTTCTTGTAAATCTAGGTCTGAACAGAGAATTATACACTATTTGATAACTTTTTTCTTTCTTTTTTTTTTTTAGAGACAAGGTCTCTCTCTGTCACCCTAGCCAGAGTGTAGTGGCATGATCATAGTTCACTGTAACCTCAAAATCCTGGGCTCAATCGATCCTCCTGTCTCAGCCTCCTGAGCAGCTAGGATTAAAGGCACTTGCCACCACGCCCACCTAATTTTTAATTTTTTTTTGGTAGAGACAGGTTCTCGTGGTGTTGCTCAATCTGGTCTCAAACTCCTGGCCTCAAGTGAGCCTCCCGCCTAGGCCTCCCAAAACCCTGGGATTACAGGTGAGAACCACTGCATATGGCTGAGTTGTACACTTAAAAAAATTTTTTTTTAAATACGGAACACTTCACAAATTATAGTGTCATCCTTGAGAAGGGGTCATGCTGATTTTCTCTGTATCATTCGAATTTTAGCATACATACTGCTGAAGTGAGCATTGAGTTGTACAATTTAAAAGGTTAAATGTTATGCTATACTATACTAATTTTATGGTATACCATAAAATTTGAACTCAGGCAGTATACAAAAAAATTCATAGACCTGCACACCAACAGAAAAAAAATTACTGCATAATTTAAAACATAAAAATAAATGAAGTCCTGTGTCTGAAAGGCAGGAGCCAGGTTCTCACCTGCTGTGTGTCACCCAAGTTTCCTCATACAAGAAATGCTGATGACAGTGGTTCCCGGACATGGGAACATGTCCGGGAACCACCGGGGCTCGGGGAGGTCTTTGAAAACTTCTGATGCCTGGCAACCACCGCCAGACATTCTGATTTAATTGGTCTGAGATACAACCTGGGTTCCAATTTTTTTAATTTTTTTTTTTTTAGAGATGAGGGCTCACTATGTTGGCCAGGCTGGTCTCAAACTCCAGACCTTGTGATCTACCCTCCTCGGCGTCCCAAAGTCTGGGATTACAGGCGTGAGCCAAATTTTTTTTAAAAAAAGCTTCCCAGGTGATTCTAACATGCAGCAAAATTTGAGAATCATGGGCTTAGCAAGAGGTTGATGAGCAACCATTCTTGGGAGCCCAAAGCGAATCCCCACCCCACTTTACCTTATTTTCACCTCAAAGCAATCAGATTAGATCTGCCCTTGGCAAAGAGAACAGCTACAGTCATTCCTGCTGTTCATCATGCCGGACAGAAGCAAATCTGAATATTCTCTCTGGTTCCTTAAGGGCTACTGCTCTCTCTAAAAACACGTGGTTGATAAGATCAGCAATTCCAAAGCAGGATCCATTCTACAAAACATGGCTTCTTCCGTTCTCCCCAGGCTTTCTCTCTCTTGCTGCCCTGTTTGTAGCTGGGGTTGGGAAGTGGAGGAGAGAGAAAGTCACTTAATAAATACATTCTCAGGCCAGGCTGGGTGGCTCACGCCTGTAATCCTAGCACTTTGGGAGGCCGAGGTGTGTGAATCACCTGAGATCATGAGTTCAAGACCAGCCTGACCATCATGGTGAAATCGCATCTTAAAAATAAATAAATACATTCTCTGGCCGGGTGCAATGGCTCACACCTGTAATCCCAACACTTTGGGAGGCCGAGGCAGGTGGATCACCTGAGGTCAGGAGTTCGAGACCAGCCTGGCCAACATGGCGAAACCCCCATCTCTACTAAAAATACGAAAATTAGCCAGGCACAGTGACACGTGCCTATAATCCCAGCTACTCGGGAGACTGAGGCAGAAGAACTGCTTGAGCCCAAGAGGTAGAGGTTGCCCTGAGCTGAGATTGCATCGTTGCACTCCAGCCTGGGCAACAGAGTGAGACTCCATCTCAAATTAATTAATTGATTGATTATCTGTGTTCTCAATGAACAGACAAGAAAAGAAAAGAAAAAAAGTAAATACATTCTCAGTAGAGTGAGGGTCACTAGGTTTCCGGATTACCCTTCCCAGAAACATTCATATTTTCAAAGAAGACCTCCTGCTAAACAAAGGGATGAGTCACTAATGATGGAATTTCAGATACTAGTAAGGAAGGTTTTGAGGGACAGGGTCTCTCTTTCCTTTAACTTCCCAGACACATTGTCTGGACTGGTCCTGATTGTTTGGCCTGTCTGTTTTCTTAGAACAGAGCATGGGATCCTAGCTAGCTGCATTCCATTCACTTAACAATTTGTTGTTCGAATTTGTTTCATTCAGTTATGATTAGGTGTTGTCTGTGGCATTTATGGTCTTTCTATGCCAAGCAATCTCATACTTACTTGAAAGCCCTTTTGTATTATCTACTGTATTTCCTACAGGTGAGTCTTTTCTCCTTGTCTTAGTTATTAGACTTCTGGCTGTAGATTACAAAAACCATCTTAAGCAAGTTTAGGCAACAAGGGGAGTTCTCCATAAGATTACAGGTATAACCAGGAAAGTTAAGCCTCAGGGAGAGCAGGAATCCAGGCATATGCAGTCTGTGTTAGAGGGTAGACACCAGGTCCCCACCACAGTCAATAAGGGGGTCAGATCTCAGAGAATAATAATCATTGAACATGAATTGAATGTGTACTATGTGCCAGGCTCAAACATTACGATAACATATTATTCTTATGTTATCATTATGAAATATGGTTCTATTGCTCTTCCGATTTTACAAATGAGGAAACTGAGGTCCGCAGAAGATAAGCAATATGTTCAAAAGCTTCCAGGCCAGGTCCAGGAGCTCACATCTGTAATCCCAGCACTTTATGAGACTGAGGCAGGAGGTTTGCTTGAGCCTGAGAGTTCGAGTCCAGCCTGGGCAACATAGGGAGAATTTATCTCTACAAAAAAATTAAAAAGTAACCAGGTGTGGTAGTGGTGCCTGTGGTCCCAGCTATTTGGGAGGCTGAGGTAGGAGGATCACTTAAGCCCGGGAGGTAGAGTCTGCAGTGAGCTGTGATTGTGCCACTGGACTCCAGCCTGAGTGGTAGAACAAGACTCAGTATCAAAAAAAAAAGAAGAAGAAGAAGAATGGGGGGGATGGGGGGTGGTTCCAGTTGGCATTTGAACTCAGGCAATATGGTTTCAGAATTTTACACACTTAGCCATGAGATGAATCGTTCCCTTAAGAATTGTACAAAAAAAAAAAAAAAAGAATTGTACAGTAGGCAACCTGCACACCCATACCTGGCAACCCTGACTATGGAATAGATCAGTGTTCCTCATGAGACACTAAGGGCATTTGGAGCTAATTTTGTGTGTAGGACTATCCCATCCTTCATTTACTATACGTGAGTAGTAGTAACCCTCCCAATGATTGTGACAATCAAAAGACAATCATTGTGACAATCAAAAGTATCAACTTCTTGAAACTTAAAAAAAAAAAATGAAAAAAATGTTTTCAAAGTATAAATCTCAGTTGAGAATTACTAGGATAAACAGACACCCCCAAATGATGTCTGCATCTCTGTTGTGTGAGCTCTTGATGGCTGTAGCAATGTGACTTCTTTTCCTCCTCCCACAGTAGTAGGCCCAGAGAACTATATACATACTCCACAAATGCTGGCTGTGCATTGTCATTAGAGCCTAAAAGGACCCAGAGTCCTCAGCGTGGTGCTTCCCTACCCAGAAAGATAGGGATGGAAAATGAGTCATGTATGGTAGATTCACCTCCAACGCCCTACAGGAAGACACAACAGTTTTCTGTTTTTTCACTTGGTCCCCCTAACAAACCAGCATGGTAGGAAGGGCAGAAATTAGTTATATATATTATTAAAAAAGAATATAACAGTGAATTTCTAAAAATTTTTTAACACTCCCCCCCTTTTTAAATTGTTTTTAATTTTGGCAAAGAAAAAAGTACCTATAAGCCCATCCTCTGCCCAGCTACTCTGTTTTGTATGTTACCTCCTGGCCCTGCCTACAGGCTCTCTCTCCATGTGCGTGGTTATAGTCAGAGAGTGTACCATCTGGGGTTCTGCTATTTTCACTTAACATTTATAAATGTTTTCCTTGTTGCTACATGGGCTTCATGATGAATGATTTTTTAAATGTCTGCATAGTGTTCCATTGCACAAATCTACTTTTATTTTATTTATTTATTTTTTGTAGAGACAGGGTCGCAATCTGTCACCCAGGCTGAGTGCAGTGGCATAATCATCGCTCATTGCGTTATAGGATGGGAAGTCTTCACTGCGAGTTGTCCAGGTTTCTGGCGTGTTGAACAAAGAATTGAACAACATGCACAGACAAAACAATGGAAGACGAAAGCATAGGCTTATTGAAGTGAAAGTACACTCCACAGAGTGGCTCAAGAGCCCCAGTTGTAATGTTTCTTGAGGTTTTTATTGAATTAAAACAGCATGGTAACACCCCTAAGCACCCTTTAGGAACCTCTGATTGGTTACACTCTATACAAATAAAGGATTCTGCCCAGGACCAGAGGCATCCCACCTGTGACCTACATGCAAATGAAGGTTTCAGAATGGACCATTTACAGAATTCCTGTTTTTTAAAGACAAGCCCAGCCTAGGCAACACAGCATGACCCCATCTCAAAAACCAACAACAACAACAACAAAATATATTTTAGGCCTCCTTAGTCCAATGCCCTTGCCATCCCACCCCATATCCTCCCCTAGCTCAGACATGCTCAGTGATGAAACCAGTTTCTGAAGTTGCAATTCCCTCCCAGGAGCAAATGAGGGGTTGATCCAGAGTGCTTCTGCCGGGCACAGTGGCACGTGCCTGTAGTCCCAGCTACTTGGGAGGGTGAGGTGGGAGGATCCCTTGAGCCCAGGAGTTCTGGGCTGTAGTGCGCTATGCCGATTGGGTGTCTGCACTAAGTTTGGCATCAATATGGTGA